GTGGCACTTGAGCCAAAATCTCTTTCTCTCTCTTTCTCCCTCGCTCTCTATCTTTCACCTGGGTAGAGGAGATTAGAGGACACTGGTGCGAAAGCTGCCCCCTCGCGCGAGTGCACCCCCAGCAATTGTCGGATGAAGAGCGAGGCACGAGGCAAGAACACCGACTATGTCGCCGAAAGGGCATAAGGTGCACAGCCTCGAAATTGCAATTGAAATGAGAAAAAAGCAAGCGTGCGTGCGAAGCGAAGCCTGTGGGGTTCAGGGCGCAAAGCCCATCTCCCCTGCGCTGCGCAGCGCAAACAAGACAAAACAAGGCTACAGACCCCAGCATTGAAAAAATCCCAGACAAAGAGCCCCGCTCACCAGCTAAGCCCTGCTAGAGTGTCAACGGCCCAGCTGGGACGATGCTCGGTGCTTTCAGTCGCTAGGATACAAGCTCGCAAATTTCTCTCTGCCTCTTTCTGTTCCTCTTTGTCTACCAGGGTAGAGGAAGGGCGGCCCCCTTCCCTGCGCAAGGGCGCACACCTGCATCCCTCGCTCCTTCGTTTTTTCGCCAGGGCTGGGGTGGGGGTTCGACCCCACCGCGCGCTAGTGCGCCCCCGCCTGTTGTGGGTGCCAAAGAGTTGCAGGCAGTGCACTCTCGAGGGCTTGAACAACCATAAAAAGGAGCATGACAACAATGAGGTGAACATGATGAAATGCGAGTCAGAAATGGGAAACACCACTCTCCATGGCCAAGCTGTCGCGATCTCGGGGTATTCACCTGATCTCGAGTTTAACGTGTGTTCTGCGTGCACAAGTTGCACAGTCCCATGCACTCGGATTGGCCCACAGTACGAAACGGTGCAAACCAAACATGTGCATAGCGACTGCATGTTATCAGCGTAAGGCTGCTTCTGGTAAAAGAATCCCTCTCTGTCTCTCTCGCTCTCTCTCCCTCGCCCTCTCTGCTTTTCTTGCACAGGCGCACAAGTGTAAAGGAGCCAACAAGCAGAATCGAACGTGGGTTTGCAGATTTTGTAAAATGCAATGAGCACAAAGTCTGCTGCTCAAAAGAAGAAGCAGGTCAAAATCAAACTCAGTGGCTGTGTCTTCCGGATTCCTTGGGCAGCTGAGATCTGCAGACATGGCCGTACCAGCCAACACGAGCACGTTGCCTGAGAGGTGTCGATTGCCAACAATACCAGAGTCAGCCAATTTCACCATCAGGCAAATGCTTGAACCGAGCCCCAAGACATCTATCTAGTCTGTCTCCACATCACAGCTGCTACGCCATTCTTGCTCGCACGCGTTCGACACAGAGCGCATGCATCAGAGAGATACCGTGTGCGGTCCGAAGTACCTATGAAGCCATTGATGTTCGCAGCCTGACGGACAGGGGCCGCGTACAGAAAAGGCCATCATTTACAGAGCTTTGATAACGTGAGTGCACCGTTCACTTCGTCCAATGTTGCCATTGCTGCACTCACTCAGTTGAGCAGTTCTGCCAAAAACGACAATGGGGGGTGAAAGTGTGGAGGTCCAGACCGGCACACTTCCTAAAGGCGCCGGGGTGGCGCAATGCCACTTATGCTAGACCAGGCACACAATTCGCCGGTACATTCAACGACCCAGAACATGTCGACACGGAGGACGAGGCAGCGCCCAGACCAAGTGCAGTGTTCACCAGTGCCTCAGGTTGGGATGCACGAGTTCGACATGAAAGTTCCTGAAGATTTCAGAATATGCGTGTCCCTGCACAATAAGGGCGGCGATACTCCTATGGTCTGTCCGAGGTGCGCCAATGATGGTGATAGCACATCTCTGTCGCTCATCCTGAACCATCAATGCAGTGGCCGCTTTCTTGGGTCTGTTCGACAGCCTAGAACAAGGAGGTGTTCCATGATCTCAACGAAGCCAACGTTTGTAGCACAACTTGCCTGCCTTTGTCACTGGGCGCTTGTTGACTCTTTTGATGCGCCCAAAATCCTCAGCTGCAGCCCAGCAATCAATGCGGCCCCAACTGGGCGGCCTCTGGAATGAGAGCACCAGGTGCAAGTTGAGCCGCGCAGTTGATCGTGATCGCGGTGATGGAATTGCCAAGCAGCAGGACACGCCCAACAGCTTGTGCCTCACAAGCTCGCTCCGCCCTTCTGCAGAGTTCGCAGGTTTTTCAAGGACAGATCTGGAAGTGGAAGGTTAGCAATGATGAGCTATCCGAGTCTGAGTACACATTCACTGGTTCAAGAAACCGGACGTGTAGCAAGAGCCATTAACGCGGCATTCCCTAGTTGGCAAAGTACTTCTCGTCTGTGGCCTTGCAGATGTCGGCACTCGTATTCAGAGAAGTCAAAGCAAGTGATGGCGGGAACTTCTGCTTTCTCTACAGTACCGGAACAAGTCAAAATGCGCAATAGAATCAATCCAAAGGACCATGACACGAGCGAGAAGGAAAAATGCAGGCCGCAGGGCAACTGTTCCAAGAACGGGCACAGGATATTGGCCAAAAATAGCTAGAAAACCAGACAATAGATGTAGATGCTGCACCCCGGGCTGGCTCTCTTGCGACTCCGAGCAGCGACATCCACAACACAGAGCACCTTGCCCGCGGCCTTGCCTTGTGTCCAGTGCTTCGGGCTTGGCTTGCGGCTCAGAGCTATGAAGAAGCTGTTCGGGTCACCTCTGCCTCGTAACTCTGAGTTTGACATGGGCTCAAGGGCAGGGCACTTCCCCTGCAACTCCGACACGAGGCAAGGAGGACGACTGCTGTCTAGTTGCAACACACTCTCCCTACACCACATGCGACCCCTGCTGTCGTTCCTCAGCATCAGGACCACAACGGAGACCATCGGAATCTATGCGGACGATGCAGATCGCGTGCAAGCCCTTTGAGTTGCGAGGCTCACTTGGGCATTGTACGTTTTGCTTTAAACTTGTGCAGAGGATGTGAAGATGAGCGGTCACCCTGCTCGCTGGAGTACCCCGTGACTGTCTGTCTACATTTCTGTCGAAGTAGCTGACATGGCCAAGCTCAACCAGCGGCAGCTCCTGGATGCAGCTCAGATCACACAGCGAGTTTGGCTGGCACTTCAGGGTGAGCCCAAGCCAAGCAGGCCGCGCTCCTTGGAATGCCCAAATTCCACTTCAAGGGATCGAAATCCATCTGGAAGAAGCCCTGCAGCCAGTCGGGGAAGTTGCGACTGTCGAAGGCTTCAACCACTTGCAGCCCAAAGCCGGAACTGAAATCACAGGTGGTGGACCTTCCAGGAAGTGAATGGACTTCAGACCTGAGCCCAGTTCTCTTCGGGGGATTCGTGACTTGGCTAGAGACGCTGGGCTCCCGGCGTCGAGGGGCGAAAGCCACGCATACCAGCAGTGCACTAAAGAGCAGGATACCTTGAAATAAGCGCAGGGGAATGCAGGCGACACCAACCACCACCTCACACGTGCCTGCCGGAGCAGTCTGAGTCTGGGTGCGGCACCAGTGCGCCAGCCGGGTCGAAACCGGCGCCAGTACGACGAAGGCTCCACCTGCCACGCTGCGGTCCCCAAGTAGGAGTTCAGGTCGAAGTTCAAGGAGTATCGTGTCCATCAGTGCACACTTCATGTGAAGGAGCAGCACGATGAGTTTAATGTCCGCCTCCATATGCCCTGCATTGTTGTCCACGAGGCTCTCATTTTCGAGTCCATCCTGCAAGGAAGGCGAGAGGACAGCTGCGAGCAGTATGCGCCCCCAACCAGCGGCTGCTGTAGCAGATTCTACATTCAAAGGGTCCCTGCTTGAGGGTCTGATGCTAGTACCATGCTGGCGGCTCCTCCAGCGCCATGTGGAACCTTGATCTTCGCAAGGACTCCACCTATAATATCTAAGAATCTAAGCTAAGCAGGATGTTTGGTGCTTAGCAATTCTTTCAGCTAGCTTCGATGCCTTTGCCATGCCTGGCGGCTGTCCGCAGCTTACTAGACTATCTGCGTTCTGGATGCATTCTTGTTCGGTGCACAAGCAAAAGCTTCAGCCAAGCAAGACCGGCAAAAGCGAAAGACTCGTCACGTCGAACTAAAAAGGCTTGCAGGGCCCGCATGGACAGCGATGATGATTCCCTTCACACTCATGCCATCATTTTTCTGGCTGGAGCGATGCGCCCTCCCAGAGCCACGGACAAAGGAGCCCGCCGAGGCTTCATGTAAAGGCTTTTTGGACATGAAACTCTGCATGAAGAACTCCTGTATGGGATTCGTGCACGAAGCCTCAGCGTCACCTCTTGCGCAGCAGTGCATTAACGGCCCAGAACTAGCTGCTAACTAGCTGAGAAACAACGAATCGTGAGGCCGGAAGTGGGATCGATAACATGTAAAGTTAAGCTGCGTAGCAGGACACTATGCTTCCGAAGGTTTTCGCTGAAGGCTGATGAACTGTGAATGACTGCTTGTCATCACGCCCTAAACTGCTTCCACCAGAGGTGAGCAAGCCGCAACCATCTCAAGGCAGCACATCAAAGAGGCGCGGGCAGCGACCGTTGAGGCAAAAATGGGTTCAACACAACAACAACGCGATGCGGATCGCGACGACATGCTGAACCAAGCAAGCATCTCCGGCTCGGAAGAAGCAGCACTACAGGTAGGTGCCCCGTCACGCTACTTTCGAAAGCGCGTCTGTCGCAGCCGCAGCTGTCGTGACTTTCGTCTCGGTCGCGGTGCGGAGCAAGAAGGTCTCAAGCAGCAGCAGCAGCAGCAGAAGCAGCAGAAGCAGCAGAAGCAGCAGCACGAGCATCATCATCGCAGAAGTCACTTGTCGTTTCGAGAGCATCAGCACAAGCAAGCTCGGCATGAAGTCTGCGGCCAGCCAGCAGCTATCTTGCATTGCCAAAGCAAGCTGTGAAAGGGTAAAACCAAGAAGGCGGCGACAAGAGCAAAGAGCAAGGGCCCACATCTTGACTCCGTCATGCTAATCACACGGCCTCACCTCGCAACACACGGCAGTGCTCCCACTTAGGCCACTCAACAGCGCCGTCTCAATCAGCTTAGCCAGGGCATGATTTGTCAGGATGCTTGTTCAGGTAATTCTCGATGGTCCTGCCCATGCCGGTACGGGGTGAGCTCTGCACACCGGAAAAGTACGTTGCTGTGGTCGCAGAATAAATTTCCTCCACCTTCCCTTTGAAAAGTCGATCCCAGCAAGGAAAACCATCAAGTGCAGGCCTTTCCCACTGCATTCGGTTTGTGAAAACATAGTCTGGCCAGGAGCAGGGTATCGAAACGTTGACTGACGTCGCATCGGTACCACACCTGTTGTGTCGGGACCATGCTCATGTGGACACTGCACAACGACGTCGTCATGCTGCAAGGATGGTTTTGAATTCTTCAAGCACAGTGGATCGGGTGTTCGGATGCGAACCGTCACATGCTCGAAAACGAGATGCTAAGCTGAGCACAAAGTGAATATGTGCCAGAGGGTGCTGTAGATGCTGTGGCCTCGGCAACTCGCATGCCAGCATGCCTGTTGCCTGCTCTCCCTTGCTGCACTGAACAAAACATGTCTGACATGAAGGCGACGAGGTCAGACTTCACTGCCTTGTGATCTACTCGCTCTCTTCCGTGTCAGACCGCTCTGCCGGAAACTTGGCCAAGGCAATTCCAGTACCATCAGACATGAAATCGATTTTGACGGCACGCGAGGAGTGACGTGTCTGATCCCCAATGCGTCGGAAGTCCCGGCTCTCGAACTCGGCAATAAGCACAAGAACGACCGAAACCCACTGCAGTGGCAAAGGATGAATGAAGCCCTGAAGAACTTACAGCACAGAACGCTGTTTGTCAGATGCACACCAACCGATTTCGAGGGGAGAAAGCCGCAGACTAAGCTGCGCCGCACTCCGTGAATACTGCTGAGGCCAGGGCATTGCAACGCCTCGGATCAGAAAGGAAGGCATGGCCAGGCAAGCCACGAATGAGTGTTGCGGTGCTCAGCACCGCAAAGTACCCTACTGCTGCCCAGGTGCGAAGCCGCTGCATGGAGCCGCGATTCGGCTGCCGAGCTCAATGTCCACAGCCCTTGAGAGGGAGAAGATGATAACTGGGCTCCCAAGCGCCGCCGTGGGCTTCAGAGTCACTGGAAAATAATGCTGAAAACGAGCTCAGATGCGACACCACATCACCAGTTGGCCGGATGGTGATGCTGGAGAGCGCACTGCCGAGCTCTTGCAGAGCGCCTCGGCGACGAAGGAGCAAGCATAGCCCGACCCCAAACAGGCAGAGAGTAGAGAGCACCTGGCAGTGAAAGCCCGACACAGCCAGAAACTCTCCGAAGAGCGCCCCTGCACCTGATGACTCCGAAATGCACACAGCGGGAGCACGACTGCCGGATCTTCTTGGGCGGAAACCCGAGTCCAAGCTGAAACGTCTGTGGAGCATATTTCGGGAGGCGGAAAGGCGGGGGACTGTGGCGGGCAATTGTGCAAGCCCCACATTCCCAAATACGCACGGCGCTATGACGGGAGCACGAGTACTAGTTACGCCGTGACGACCGTCACAGTGGCTGGGCTTTGAGCCCACAGAGAGGAGGCTCGTCGAGCGATTTGGTTGCCCAAATGTGTGGGGGACTGGCGAGAGCTTGGTCTTCGGGAGCGACGAGGTGTTGGATTCTACGATGAGAGGCGGACACAGCCAGCCCGGACTGCGGAAAGAGTGCGACTTTGGTTTGGGCGCCTTAAATCACTGCCCCACAGTTTCGGGCGCGCGCCTCCCACACTCGCTAACGACACGAAGGCAAAACCCAATAGTCCTACCACATTGTGTGGGAAGGTTTGGGAAAAACTGCATAGGGCTGACCCAACTGCGTGTTAAGCCGTGGAGCTGACGTGGCCGGAGTAAAGCACCTGTGATGCCAGCAGCAGGCCTCCATACCAGTCGACAGAGAATCTTCTCGTTTTGCATGTTCGCACTCATTAAAGCAGGAGATGCCAGGACACGGGTTGGTGCGCTAAAACCCGGCGTTTTGGGCAAGAGGGTGCGGCTGAACTGCAGAAGCGCGTGTCCTGGAACCCTAAAAAAGAGAGAGAGAGAGAGAGAGAGAGAGAGAGAGAGAGAGATCGGGACTCGTCGCTTACACTACTTCAAAAGCACTCTGAGCGCCTGGAGCAGAGAAGGCGATGGTCGTCGGACGCTTCGGCAAATGCCTCCTCGGCTCTCGGCTCAGAGAGAATTCCGCGTCCCTCTTTTTGGGGTTTGAAAAGCCGCCAAGGGCTATTGAAAACCCCTTAAATGCCAACCCCCCCTCCCCCTGCCAAGAAACGACGTGAGCTCCATGTCCTGAGCTGGAAGTGCGCTCAGCAGGCTCGAAAGTGCGCATTGAAAAGCCAGCACTAGCTGCCGAAAAGGCGACGGCCCTAACCCGATTGTTCTCTGCCTCTCGACTGGCTGCACTTCCAGATCTTGATCCAAAAGGGTCCAGATACGCTCAGGAGGGCGTAAGTCTTCACCTTTCCTCTTAGACGGAGTGTTTTCTGATGAGTTCTGCTGGTTGCAGGACGGTGGGATCACCTCAGCTTTGGGCCAACTCTCTAAGCTTCGGACCACCAACTTCGCGACGCCGCCGCCAAGTGAGTGCCCAGTGAGGTAGTACGTCCTGCACAATCCAGATCCAAACAAACATCTGAGTAGTTGAAGCGAACACGTGCCTGTACAGAATCCTCACACAGCAGATCCCTGCATGTGCATCGATCGCTTCTGCAGCCAATCTCTACCGGTTGTGATCGTCTGTCTAGAGGCTCGTGGTGTCTGCTTGCCGCTCGTGCTGTCAGACACACCCGAAAGCGAAGCCAAGCTGCCTGTTCGGGAACGTCGTCAGCATGTCAGTCACAACGCGTAGCAGCGAAGCATAAGACGACTGCAAGTTCACGGAGCACCTTTCCACAAAGGCACGCCGCCAGTGAACTGAATCCCAGATGAACTACAAGGTATGCTGCTACACTCCTCGACGTGGCGAAGGCAGAGGTCCCTGGTAGCCCCATGAGCGACTTTGGAGAACTCCGTATTGCGGGCCCCAACATCATCCTTCCCTCTGCGCGGCCAAGATGCAAAGGAAACTCGTTGGAATGCCTCTGCCAGTAGCTTGGAGTCTTGGTTTATTGCACCAACAAGCCGCACATGGACAGCAGCTCCAATCTCGTCTTTGCAATGCTGGTCGCAAGCAAAAGCAGAAACCCCGTCCTCGCCATGGCAATGCCCCAACAGTCTGCCCCAATGTCCGGGCCGAGCAAGCCCATGCTCCTCAGGCGAGCTGCGAGCTAGGGCTCGAAGGCAACGCAGGCGGAGCAAACCAAGCACCGGACTGGGGCCGGTGCAGGATGCTCTGACACGAGCTCAGGCCGCAGCTGGAGTATTGCTGGAATCATCCACAGAGAAACATCTTGAAGCACCTCAAACAGCATCTGTGCCAAAGCTTGGATGGGGGGAGACTGCTTCGCGCAGCCGAGGCACGTCAACAGCATCCAGGGTCCCTCGCACGGCAATGACCGTCGTTCCTCATCGAACTGTCATGCAAGTGCGGTGCGCACACATTTGCATCCTTGTGCATCCGAAGCATCCCTTGTCAGCGGAAGTGAACATGAGGAACCGGGACCAGTCCGTGTTGCGGTTGGGGCCTTTGCTCACAAACCCATGGACAGTGTGCGTTCGCGCTGTCACCTGTGGGCCCGGGCGGTCTCGCCGTTCGGTTTCCCGGAGAGCATCGTCCAGATGCCATTCGGGGAAGTAGTGGTGCAGCGCTGCTTGGACACGGCTGTGAGGCCTCAACTTTCCACAGTACGGCTCTGAAGGACTCTCTTTGAGCACCTGTCGGACAAGTGACTAAGGCACCTCTCTAAGCCACACGAACAGATTCAGGCATTTTGAGGTGGCTGAATCCTGTGGATTCGGTTTTGCTTGCATTAGGTCCACCCTGGCTTGGAATGGAGACTAGAGAGTGGAGTGTGCACTGGCATGGAGTGGAAGGGAGTTGGAGTGGAGTGGACAATTCAGCCATGGCAAAGGCTTGGCCCGATGCTCGTAGGTCAGCGAAGCGAACAAACCGAAGTCCTGAGCTCTGAGCTCTGACACAAGGTGTGAGTGAAACCAGAGAGCTGCACGCACTGCGCGCTGCAGGGGCCCCGGCAGCAAACTTCAAGTCTCGGCCGTTTGGCGTGGGGAATTCCATCTGGCACCTTTGATCAAGCCATTGATTCCCACCAGTCGTCTCCACGTACCAGGGAAAACGAGTACTTGCAGTACGACAGGGACACCCAGCCCGTAGAGAACGGTCTAGCGGCACTTCCACTGAAGGATTGGACTCCATGCATGTTCTTCATGCTATTGAACATGCCGAAGATCAGGCAAGCAGCAGAGGCGTGTAAGCTTGCTGGATTTCGGGGCCTCAGCGGCTTCGAGGCCCTTGGACTTGACTTGCGACACCACTGAGCAGCTCGATTCAAGCTACTCAAGATCTGCCAGGCTTCGAGGAACGATCTGCTCGTACCTGCACTCCGACATATTCGTACAAAACCTCGGAGTTCAAATTGCAGCTGCCTGCCGAACCGGAAGAGAGCCCGCCCTACGAACACTGCATGTAACTGTGCAGACCAGCTGCGCACTCCAATTGTTCGGCTGGAAGGAAGTCACGAAGGCCCAACAGACCTGAGGTGATTTTCAACCTCAACTAACTTGCATCCCAGAAATAAAAGCCGTACCGTTATCATAATGCTTCTCGCCATCCCTGGACAGACCTCACATCGACTCTGATCTGCAACGATACCCCGCGCACCTCAGGATAATAGCATCAACTTGACACTGGTCACGAGTAAACACACCTAGAACGGAAGGGAAGAGGTTGTCTGAGAGTAGACCAGCCCCGCAGCGCGCAAGTGCGGCTTGCCGTCAGGGTGCTATGGACTACAGAAATGAACGGCCGCAGGACCAACGTACGAGATCCGAATAGACAAAGAGGTTGGAGTAATCATACTATGCAACCACCGTTGACAAAAAATACTGTGGATGGCATAGTGGCTTTGAGTTCTGCGCATGATACGAGCTGTGGTAGTCATCAACATGGTGCATCTGTCTCTGTTGAGCGCCGCCATGCGCACAAAGTGCCCCAAACCCAACCGGCAAGTTCGTCCGAGCAGCGATGGCAATGACCACAAACTTGGCTGAAATGCGAGAAATCGTTGTTGGGAGGATGCAGAAGCGTACACTTCGGAAACCGAATGTGCATATTGAGGACTTGGCTGAATACCATGAGAGCACTGAGGCAGGACCAGGCTTTGGGGCTCGAGTTCTGAGTCCAGGAGGCGTTCACAACGCACGTTTGTTGGCTTCGCATGGCTTCGCCACATCAATTTCGGCAACCCCTTCGACACTCGATATAATGCTCGGCATGACACATGCCGGCAAAGTCTGGCGCCTGACTTGGCTAAGCCCACAGGAAACGGAACCGAAACCCCAGAGCCGAAGGCAAAAGATCCAAGATCCGGCCCAGCCGCATGGACCACTCCAAGAGCCATCAGCGAGACCTTCACCGGCTGGGCGTTGGCTGGAAAGTGGGCTCTGCGACTGGCTTGGGTGGGACAGTGGGCAGCACTCATCAGTGGAACACCGCAATGCCCATGCGCAGGAATCCGCGAGAAGTTGTCAACCACGATGGCACTGTCAACCGTATTCTCATCAGCACCCTAAAACTTCATCGAGATCATCAAACAACGGCATTGCCTCATATGCCTTTTACAGGAAGCACCGGGGCAGCTACGACGCGAATACGATCCCCGGCTCGTACTTCCCGTTGAAAGCCAAACCTCAATGGAACAGCTCAGTAATGTCAAGTCGGCATCGTATATATTGCTCCTGGCATGCTGGCATCGTTGCACCTCCCTCCGCTACTACATCCACAGCTGGGACAAACTGATGCTGAGGAGGCTCTGCCGCATAGCCTTTGCTGTCACAGGTGTAAATGCAGCACCACATGCGTCAGTAAATGCACAACGACACCGAGCAAAACGGCCGGCAGCATCCAGTGCTGCCAGAAAGCACACAGAAGAAAGATCAGTGCTGCATCCAGGAGCGGTCTGTCTGCTGTCCTGTGATGCTCGAGTATGTTAAATGAACAAAACTCTGCGCGGGGTGGTCCCAAAGCGGTCGAAGGTTGGAGTGCAGTGCTTGCAGCCGTTCTTCGAAATGAGGCTGCAGCACTCGAGCGACCGCAGACTTCAGACCCGTTGACTGCCGCAGCTAAAGCTCCGTCTTTGTGACAAGACCAGTGCCCTGGAGGTGATCTACGAGGATTCAAGAAGGAGGCCCACATCGCAGAGGACTTGATATCCGGCCGAGGCTCTGAATCACAAGGCACTGAAGCAAGATGCCTTCGAAGAATGCTTCCTGGGCGAGAACTCGCAAACTGACACAGGCACCGAACCACTGAAAACGTGTCAAACCGAGGATGTGGCCCATACTTGTATAGCTGCAAGGGCTCTGCAGGTCTCTGGCGCAACTTGTGGGGCACTCTCCGACAGCTTCCCGCTCACTTCCAGGATTTGCAAAGGAAACAAATCAAGCGACCCTGTATCATATCCTGACCGAGACTTCTCTGCTGCACAGGTGCGAAGATGGCTGCTGCCCAGCCAAAATTTCCTTCAAAGTACATGAACAGCAGGCGCAGGAAGAGGAAGAAGAGTATAGCCAGGCCTTGAGGGCGAAGTCACAAAATACAAGGACATGAGGACGTGGAGATCTCGGCACTTTGTGGCATACCGGGGCCGACACAAGAAAGCGAAAGCCATCGCAGTCGGTAGACTCCGAAAACCTAAGCTGCAAGTACAAATATGCTCAAGAGCCCTCACGTGCCAAGTCCACGGATCTCGCTTTACACTTTTCTGATTTCTCCTGGGCTCTCTTCATGATTCGCTTTACTTCATGATTCGCTTCAATTGCGTCCATGCCACCGCGCCGAGCATGATCAAGGTAATTGCGAAGGGATGGCGCTGACGCTTCTGCGCACTGTGGTTGAGTCTGCACCACTTCTCGCCTCCACCAACTCGCAACAAAAGGCTTCTTGAATGCACAAGGCGACTTAGAACTACTTCGCTTCCATCAGCTGCTTTGAGACAAACTCCTCAGTACAGATGATTCAGCGCTGCGACGATCAGATGCACCAGTGGTGCGACAATTTCAAAGAGCCTCCTTACCGATCATTTGTCGAGTAGCTAAGAAGCATGCACATTCCGCTCTCTGCACTCAGCGCTGATCTGTTCGACTCTCGCACTCCCGGCCCCATCGCTGAAGAACGTCTGGGCTGTTGAAGGCATTATTCAGCCACCCAGGTGGCTGCAACGGCTGGATCCGGTCAGCATAATCTCGGCTGGATTGTTGCTCAGCACACTCAACACTCAAGAGCTTTAGAATGCGCGTGCTGGTTAAATCTTACTGTTTCCTGGGATCTCAACGTCGGTGGCATTGCCATGGGCTCGGAAACGACTTCTGCGTTGTGATATCTTGTCAGTCTTTGCATTTGCCGAAAAGATCGTGCCCTGGCCGCAAGACATGATCTGCCAGCTGCATGCGGGTGGCTGGAAGCTGTCATGACCTGGGTGCAGAGCATGCTGTCATTCGGAGGCTCGGGGACCCTTCCCCAACTTGCATCGCTATGCAGGCCCAGACACAACAGCAGTCAGGCTATGCACAGCATGAAGGCCTGAGCCCGACGCTATCCAGCTCATCACCATTGAGCTTCCACCTCCAATCACAAAAACACAAATTCTGTATTGTGTATTCTGGCAAAACTGTCCTAACAGTCTTGTTGGAAGCAGTTGTTGCAGCTTGCTGTCATCTCAACCTTTGTGATTAGGGATCCGGCTTGGGCCGTCATCTCGTTTTCAGCTCAAGGAAACTATCAGGCACTCAAGGCTTGCAACGGTCAATTTCCGGAGATGGCTAGAATCTTAGATTGTGACCAATGCCAAGTCGGAAGGCACCAAGAAAGATCCCTCAGAGGTATATGATATCTTGTATATCAGTACGTATGTGACAGAAAATACACATGGTGCTATCATGGCCTTTCAATGACTCTTTGGCCCTTTTCTTGGCTCCCGAAGCCCTCCTCTGGCCTAGGAGGGCCAGGAAGCTTCGCTGGTCAATCAGGCCAAAGACCTGCAAAGTTCAGGAGAAACGCGGGGTTTGCAGGTTACCTTGGGGAGTTCTCGCCGGCTACCTTGCTTTGCAGATTGAAGCAATTACGCACACTCTTTCCTGTGGTGATAATTACAGCAAACTGGAAAGCAGCTGAGCCCGCGACGAAGGTACAAGCACAAATGAGAACTGGAAAAAGATATTCTCCCCTGGCAACACCGCACACGCACTGGGGCCACGCAAACTCAGTGCTTTCCGGCGCGTTCACAGCCAGTGTGGCAGAATTTGGATGCCAAGGTGCCAATGGAAGAGGGTGCATAGCGTAACACAAACACTTCCTTGCGATGCAGCATCTTGCGGAACCCGACCAAAGAGCTTGGTTAAGGGAATGCTCACAGCTGTTGGGGAAAACAGTACTTTGCAGCGCACCGGGCTTCCTACAAAGCGGGGTCGCCAAGACGGTCTAAGTTCAATCAAGCATCTGTGCTCCTGCTCCTGGCTGTCAAACTGGTTCTCATCATGCATCACCCAGATACTGTGGGTCATGTGCATGATGCCTGAGCAGATTGATGAAGTTTTTTTGAATCTAAATCGGCCATGGTGCAATGGTACACACTCAACTAATGAGCTTGTTCTCTTCATCCAGGGCCAGGTCTGGCGAGCTGAGCCCAAGAACAACCGTGAATGAGTCGTGCGTGCATCAGTGCTCTCTGTGTTGGTGCCCTGTGCCTGCGCTAGCGGCAAAAGGCTTTGGTTTTGAGTCATGCTACATCCAGCCACTTCTATGTCGCTTGCTTCCTGAACTACACAATATCTTTTGCCGGGTGGAATGATTGGCTGGATTCTTGCTGCTCTCGCGACTCGGTTGGTCGGGCATCGCCAGGCAGTTCATCAGTGACCTTCGAATCTTCCCCGTAGTCTGTTCTCAGTCTTAATCTTGTTCGGCTCGCCGCCTGCACGTTGCAGCTGGTGCTCTTGACTCTTGACATAGTGCTCTTCACTGCGCAACATCCTATCACTCTCGTAGGAGTTCTCGTCTGCGCATTGCGCCCAACGTGCCCCAACGCTTCTTTGCCATTTTCTGCCGGGGCCACTGGAGCGGCCGTGCCGGAAGCCGTTGAAGGCGCGAGCTTGCTGCCAAGCGCGGCAGAAGTACTTCACCTGCGACTCCGGACTCGCAACTCGCAACTATAGTTTATGCGAGACGCTGAGCACGATCAGGCACGCCTTCAGCGACACCTCGCCAATCCACCACAACGAGTAGAAGACGAAGATGTGGATACTTCCAGTCAGGAGACATACCTGCCGAGCAATGCGACAGCACGACCACCGTGGCGTGTGCATCACCCATGCCATGACCTCTGACGCTGGCTCTCCACCCGCAAAGGGCTATGTAGCAGGACCCACCTGTCGCCTCTCAACCAAATCGCAATATGGGAAGTTGGCTTCCCTCATCTAAGACGTGCTCGTCCTGGCCTCAGCCCAGAAGATCCAAGCAGCATGGCTGCCGATCCGTTGTGCCATGATGAGGAAGATCAGGGGCAATAGGTCCATGGAGAGATGTACTTGGCAGCGCCACAAATCTTTCGGGGAGGAGTTTTGGGCGAAAGCATGGCTGAACCCTGTCCAAGCAACCTGTCCCAAGCGAAACATCTTCAGGAATTGTCCACGTCTTTCAGTACTACTTAGATCAACTTAGATCCAGCGAACCCGGGCAGGATGGCCAAGGCTCGCAGCGCCTGGAAAAAGACATCCAACCAAGTTTGGTGCTTCGTGAGCCTCGACCACGAGCATATGTAGAACCTGGTGGAGCAGCCCCGCGCGCGCACGCGTTCTGTTCACTTTTGATATTGCCACATGTGCAGGAAAGGCTATCACCCATGACTGCCCCAGTCATGGCTACTGCAAGCATTGCAGGACATGCGATGGCATAGATTGTCTTGACCGTCTGGTCTGATGATGTTAGCATCAGCCAGTAGATCAAAAGTGCGCCAGCCGGGAAGCATGAGACTGCGCTCAGCTTTCATGTAGGCAGAACTAAACTAAGTAGGGGGGGTATGGGGCAGCGCCTCAACGCTGCGGAAAACGGAGAACCACTTTCCGTAGCGTTGCTGGGCTCCCGGCTCGCCGGCTTCGAGCTCGCCCCAGGCATCACCAATCAGAAGGCGCCGGTATGCCTCTTAAAGCAGAGAGACAGAGACAGAGATGACAGAGATGACAGAGCCGGAGAAAGGTCAGGTTTCAAAGCTTAAGCTGATCCGAACTTTTTGCCTCGAAGACATCTGGCCGCCATGCATCCTTACGCCGCGATGAAGACTTGGCAATGTACGCAGCACTTGTCTTCCAGCTGTTTGGCTACGATTTGATTCCAGGCGTCTCTGCAGAGAATGAAAGCAAACCGAAGAATGTCGGTGGTGGCACTTTGCATGATGTAGCACCTCCAGGCCGTGGCAAGTTGCACGCTTCGAAGTCACAAGCTTGCTGGTTCATGTTCGAATGAAAAATAATTCTGACCTGGGAGTAACCGGGCTTGAGGATCACATCCTGGAAGCATGCGCTGTGCATGTATTGCGTTGTCAACAAATGAAATTCGTAATTAGTTGCATAAGCAGTCCTGAAGCAAGAATATTGCATGTATGTTCCCAACATGCTCCTCTAACACGGAGGAGGACAATCATGCAGGGTAGGTGGTATAGCCAGGTCATTCCTAATAACCTAGGGTGTCCCGCCCTTTCTATACCTTATAAATCTCATAGGGCCTTAGTACCTCCCTGTCACCCGAATTTGGTGGAAACTCGTTATGATTTCCACGCACAGATCACAGCCCCTGCCTATAGACTGCTGGACAAGTGTGTAACTTCCGCGATGTACATGTTCCGCAGGCCAAATGATCAACCAGCTTTAAGATAAGAGTAAGACTTACATATCATTCGCGTGGGCTCTTGTCACCAACTACTCAGCTCTTGGAGCTTCGAATTCAAAAGGCAATCAGGAGCGGCAAGAAAGCTACAGTCAGCTGGATCTGGAGCCGAACCAGCCTAAAGAACGCGCCATAGAACAGAATGGTCAGATGGAATCGTCCTGCAATGAGCCATGTAGCCATGTGGAGGGTCCCAGCTCGAAACACTCAAGGGCCTGGGCTCGCGGGAACGAAGTGTACAGTACCGCCCGCTGCAGGATGCCAAACTCACCGAAATGCCCTAACCCGCCCTCCAGCAAGCGACCCGTTTTGACCAACTGTTCACATTATTGCCAAGAGTTGTGTTTGTAACGAGGCACCAGTGTTGTTTCCGTTCCTTGAACCTGTTCAGGGCAGTACACATGCGGAGCTGTGGCCTTGCCCACTGCCACTGCTGCAAACGTCTCTTCTGAACCCGCCAAAAAAGAGCTGCGTCCGAGGCCTTCTGGAGAAGTTGCTGTCTCTTGGTCCATCTTTGTGTACCAGATAATGTAGCCTCAGCCATGAACAGAACAACCACTGCTGCACTGAATCACCCGGCATTCAAAATCTCACCTGGCATGTGACGAGGTGCTTCGGAGAACCACCGAGGCGCAGTTGCAGAAGATTAGGCATGCTGCGGCCAAAATCAAGAAACCTGGACAGGAGCCAGGCAACATTTGCAGTAAAGCTCGCGAATGGGTCCCGCGAGCCTGCTGTATCTGAAGTGGATTGGGTCGCAGCCGAGCGAGGTCAGCTATAATTCTCAATCTGCTTTGTGGCCCAATGCGACCGGGGTGCAGTGCCACAGCGCAAGAGCCTGATAAGCTTCCGCTCGCCCCATGCAAAGCCCACACCACGTTTCTGAAATCGGGAATATGACGAAATCCGACTAACTATGGCGGAAATGGAAACGGCCGGCACAGAAATGACCTCGTACCTCTGGACCCGTGAAAGGCATGCTTCGGACTTCGGCCAATGCATGCGCAGAGAGTTAGGACCATACTTGCACCAGCATACTTTCCACCAGACAAAAATAGACGAGTCTACTAGACTCGCCAGCGACCGGAAGCATAGTCTAGAGCCCGTCCAGCTTTCGAAACCGCGCCATTTTGTCATCTTGCAGCAAGGCTAGGAATGTTCTGAGATTGCAGGGATCCTTCGCGCTTCTCTGAAGAGGACTGGGACTCCCTGAATGCAGCAAAGTGGCGCCAGCGGCCCATGAGCGGCCGACGTTTGCCAGGCTCAGGTGCCTTCGGAGTCCAATTTACCAAAAGAATATACCATGCAGTCATGGCACAATATACTATATACCTGATATACCTTCTGTACATTCAGGATGAAGGACCCCGTCAAGTCTTGAACCTGAGCTTGAAACCACTTTAAGGCCAGCTGCACAATCTGTCGCTCCCGGCCCCCCCCACCCCTACGACACTGCACACGCGCTTCTTCATGGAAGCTGCTGCGCCTTCACGACACACAATTGCATGATTTTGAGTGGACACTTTGGGCACTTGGGCTTGCGAGCACACCTACTGGAGACAGCAGACTTGCGAAGGGCTTGTTGGCGAGGGTCGAAAACATGCGTTACACATTTACCTTCCTTGCTTGTACACATACCTCCCTGATAACTTACCCGGACAGAAACTGCAAGCTGTTGGATCTGGTAGGCATTCTGCAGAACACGCTAGTCTCTTTCCAGTTTTTCGTAGGGGAACTAGAAATTAACCTTAGGGATTGCTCTACCACGAGGTAGTACCAGCACGGAAAAAAGACCACACCGACAGTTAGACCAGGCCAAGCGACCCCCATGTGGGCAAAAGGTATCCGATGAAGATCCCGCACTTTTGGCTGCAGCTGACAGACCGCGGATGCCTTCTGTGGGCAGTACCAGGAACTTACATCATCAAAGCTTTCTGATCGGGTCGCAAAGCGATCAATGTGGAAAGTCCACACAGAGAAGCCAGCTGCGATATGCAATCGGGTTCTGAGGCGAGATGCTCATCGTCTGTTAATTCGGTCTCGGATTCGCTGTCCACATCTAAACCTGAAGTAGCTGGGCTTCAGCATGCGTGCAACTGCACCGCCTCGTGAATGTTACAGCAGCAAGAACTTAGACAAGCGTCTCCGTGAGTGCTCGAGGGCAGCATTCGTAAATGTGCGCAGCATATGCCATGCGTCCGGCCAGCCGCTAAAGCTGGTAGAGGACTCTCTTTGGAGTCCGACAGAAAGCTGGCGTGTGGGATCGCGGGAGATTGTCTGGTGTGCAGTGCTTGCAAGTCACGGAGCTGTTGGGGCGCACTCCTACCGCTCAATGTGAACCATAGTTTCCTGGCTTGGTTGGCTTGTCTGCAGCTAGCAGATGCCCTTGAGCAAAGCGGGAGCAAAAAGATGTGGGACGGTCGCGTCGCTGCATCACCCAGCAACTCTTTTGGAGCGTCTGCACTACTTACGGTACTACGGCTGATTCGACTACCAGACGGCTCGTTTTGGCGACATGCATTGCCAAAGCGCACCGTGCTGGTGCATCCTGGCACACGTGAGCTTGACCACCAGTTCACGGGCCGAGTCGAAGTTGTCGAGGAGATGCATGCCCCCGCTGCTACCCAATTCACCCAAGATACGTGCTGACGGTCATCTCGTCCGGAAACAATCTCCAGTACTCGACATGAGTTCGATGAACCTTCATCGGAAGTGACGCACGAGGCGCGAGTTTACAAAGCACGTCAAACTTTTGAGCCACTTCTATTTTCGGTCAGCTCTGGTTCTTATGATTTTAGCACTCACCGGGCAAGAACTCTGCGCCTCGGTGCTGAAGAGCTTGCTCCCTTCCCCTTCCAGCAGATATTTCTTGTAGTCAGGGGCCCCGGGTGAGCGGATGTTGTCGCCGACGACCTGAAATCTGAACGCAGGCGAGTCAGGACTGCACAGGCCAAAGACCTCAAGATCCCCCCAATTAGCCAAGAAACCACGCATCCTTTTGCAAGGACTCCGCTTGCCACAGCCAACTTCAAATCGGGGAGGTAGAGCTTTTTCACCTCATGCAGTTCGGGAAAGGAACTGAATACAACGTAATCCTTGGAGAGACAGCCAACAAAAATCCTTCAAGAATCGCAAGACGACGTAATGATGCAGACACAAAGTGTTTTGAGTCTGGATCGAGCTGCATGATCCACAAAGAGGAAATCAATCTTTCTTCCCTGTTTCTTCAGCTCTGCGAACACATTATACGAATAGTTGGTCTTCATGGAGATGCGGTCTCTCACTTGAGCTTGCTCGTAAAGGCTGCTCGACACCGTGTACGCAAAAATGTCGGGATCCACTGTGATGATCTCCGCACCTGTATGGTTCAGCATGCGTACGAGGCGCAGCGTGCCATAGCCTACAAATGTTCCCAGCTCCACTGCTAGTTTGAGTTCTCCAGGACCGTTATCCAGCCTTTGCTGCACTGCAGAGTCCAAAATCTTGCCCTTGACATCGCCGACATTGATGAGGAAGCCATGGTTCCATCCGAAATCATCAACCAGGTCGATGGCTCGATCCAGGGCAGACGCAGAGTCGAGAGACTCTGTCTGTGCGTGCATCCCTTGCACGACATGCTGCAGTGCTGCCAGCTGGGGATGTGCTGTCTCCGGCGACAACACCATGAAGAAGAAAAAGATTCCAGCCAGATTTCGAGCAATCTGCACGTGTCTTCCAACAAAGCTTCCCAGCAACAGCTTGGGATTGGGTGCGAAAACGATCCCGAGAAGTAGAACAGGAAAGGCCAGCAGGAAGAGGCGGCGAGTGAGGCGTCCCATGGTTCTGTTACACTTGCTAGCCTCTGCAGCTGTTGGGTGGTCTTCAGTCTTTCAGATCCAAGACGACTTGAGGCTCTGGAGCGTTGAATATGGATACCGAGGACTGAGGAAGGCCACTTCAAGGATTCGTAACTATGGCATGCCGGGGCATGCGGGAATTTTGCGAGATATGGGCTTGTGTCATTCGCATGGCTTGGTAGCCAAGAGACTGAAGCGGTGAAAGAGGGAATCTTGGATGTTCTGTCTTGAAGCTGTATCACGAGACGTTTTTTGGCATTAAGATGCAAGGGATTGTCCTTCGGGTTCCAGGCTTCTTGCAGGCAGATGAGAGCTGCTCAGGGGTTCCTCCGAAGGCATGCTCGAAGTGCAAGCAAGCCGTCAGAACAGTACTGCGAGCATCCAGAAACCAACCCGAAACTTTTTGCCGTAAGTTCTCCGCAAAGCACGGTAGCTGCTCACAGCATTGGCAAGCGCGTGTCGTGCTGAATTCGACGAGCAAACGGAAACGAAATTGTACACGCCCCATCTGCTTTGCCCTTGTGCTGTTGCACTGCGCATGGCGCAGCAAAGCATCGGGTTTAACATGTCGAGGAAGCACCTTGTCACCTTGTCACAGCTCCTCGTCCCCGAAGCATGGACAAAACCTTGCTCACCGAGTCTGTCAAACAGCTGACACTCTCCAGGAGTCAAACACTCCCAAAGTTGCACCAACTGCCGGCATACTTCCGCTCATCACGCAACTACATAGCCAGCTTACTTCCCGGCGTGGCGCTAGCAACCCTTCTGCTCCCCGAGCCTGTAGGTTCCCGCGTCCCCGGAGACAGCACAGCGAGACCTGATGGACCGAGCTCCAAAGTCGAACAGCTCCCAGGCGACCTGGTAGTGTCTGCAGCCATGGCACCGGGATCCCTCGCCTGGGTCACCGTGCCAACCGCAGTACCGGCCTTGGCAACAGCTTGAACGTGCAGTCCTCTTCGGCCAGCTACCAGCTAGTGCAGGTCCTCCCGAGGTCGTGACCATCAGTGCTTGGGTCGTACTTGGCGCCGCCCTGCTGTATGCTGACCTGCACAAAGCCACTTCGGAATATTCGGAGCTGTGCTGTCAGGCAAGGATCTGGCACACTTCAAGCCAGACTCATCAAGGATCTCCTGGAACTCCTCCAAAGTCGCCCTTGGCCACTTCGCAAGTGAACATCCCTCTTCCTGAACTCGCGTTCCCGTAGCTGCGAACATGGCCGCTGAGCACCTGTCGGCCAAGCATCTTCCTTGCATCCGCCTCTTGCCTGGCGACAAACGGGGCTCGGATCTCTTTGAGAGTTGGGTTTGAAGGGTAGAGTGCTGGCAGAGACTCTCGCCAGGGCCCTGCCTGGCAAGTAGTCTCACAGCTGGCCCCGGCAGCACTTTTGATCCAAACCGTCGGGTCCTTCGCAGATGAGGACTGGACTGGACCGGACGCAAATGCCTACTCTGTCCTGGATGATCTCGACCATGGCCTGCGTCAGCGCGACCTAACAGCCGGATGAATCCGGCAGGCCATTGACAAGAGAGTCTAAAACCATCTGAAGCCGCTGCCAGGCATAGCCACGAGAGGATAACCTGCCGGAGACCGGCATCAAAAGCTGGATCTGTTACACATTCGTCCTTACATCAGGCTCTGCATGGCCGGCCTGCGAGACCATTGCGTGCGAAGCCGCTGAACACGGCTACTGCATGCGGCCCCGTCTGGACAGGCCCTCGTTGCTGAAGTCTCTGAGAGTTGACGTCGGAACTGCGTGCTGGAGAGAGAGGCTTGGTCCTCCCGACCCTCGACGTCTTCCGATATTAGCTGAGGAGCCACCTCCTGCCTTTCATGGGCTTGAAGCCTTTCGGCGGAATGGCATGCGGCATGAGCGTCTGAGTCCACCACATGCATGGATCTGAACCACTGCACTGAGCTCTCCCCGTGGATGTCTTCTGTTTTGACAGACGTTAGCGAGAATTGCTGCCACCTGAAGCTATGCCTGGACCCTGGAGCTTGATGCAGCTTCGACGTAGAATTCGTGCGTCGAGTGCTGGGCTGAATGTGCTCGATATAATTTCACGATGAAACCGCACCAATTCGGGGCCCGAGGCAAGGAAGGGAAGTGCAAGGCACTCACCTCTTGGGCAAGACAGGCGGCGGCATTGACATAGGCACCACCGTCGGCATGCCAGGGGGCATTCCTGGCCACAAAGGTACCGACTCCATGTTGCCGAATACGACTGCAGCCAACGACGGTCATCGAGATACAAGAACCTGTTACTGCGACCGAACATGCTGTGCAAGGCCTATCAGAGGGAGCCCCGGAGGCATCACGGGCATTCCCATCGGCAGCCCCGCCAAAGGCCTGAGAGCCGAACGCTTCCAGACTCCAAACAGCTGGCCTTGTCTAGCGACCCAAAAAGGCAGCCTAAACAAAAGCCAGAAGGTTGGGAAATCTCATAATCCTCTCCTTCAGGAAGGCATGAAGGTAGGGGTCTCCCACCCGTAATTTATGTTTGGGTGCTCTTTTGGTTCCTCGCTGTAAGCAGCTGCAAAAGATCTCTCGCATGTAAGCCTCGCTTCAGTCTAACGCCAGTGTCACGTCCATTGCTGGCGGGGGCGGAACCACTGCAGCTGAATGTTGACGAATGCTGTCAAGGGCACATCATTGTGGGCAGCGTCATGGGCAGGGCCGACAGCGGCATGGCCAAAGACATGGGGGCGGCAGGAAGCGCAGCCCTCGTGTTGCGGCGATATCTCATCGAAATGAAAGCAAAGACCATGATGGACTGCTGGACTTCTCACATGCCAGCGGGTAAGGCCCGAGCGGTGCTCCCGGCAAAGATGCGGGCGGACGCGCTGCTCTCTTGACCTTCAACTGGCTCTCCGGTCAAGACACTGTGTCTCTGCTGGAAAGTGGGAGCTCGTGCAGATCCAGGCGGCATGCGCCGCAGGCGGAGGTGGCAACGGCAGAACCTAGAATTGAAGCATCTTCAAAAACAGCTTCGAGAGCGCAAGGGCCGCAAGCAGCCTTGGCCGCTTCCTCCTCCGCTGCAGGCGGCGGGGGTGGCACCTAGGCTGGCCCACTTTACCGTACCTTTACGTCTGAAGCTGATACTTGTACGAGCCAAACGAATCGATCCCAGAGGCTGCGTCTCTACTGAGGCCTATCTCTCCTCTCCTGCCTCATGGAGAAGTATAGTCTACAATGGCCAAACCCATCTCCATCTGCACACTCGGACTGCAATCTTCTCGTCAGCCTGGCTTTGCTCCTTTGGAGCTGGCTCGTCCGGAGGTGGTGGTGGCACAGTGCCTGCCAAGGCAACAGACCAACAAAGAGCTCTGCCGTGTTTTAGGGTTTAGGTTTCTCTGTCTCATGAAACGATCAACTCCCAGCCGCAGCCCAGGCTTCGCCAAGACACTTGCCGCTTTCGAGCCCGCTGCAGGGGCGGGTGGCGGCACCACGTGGGGCTCCAGGTTTACCTAAATTGAGATGCAGCAGATTACGCTAGAAGTGCGCAAGGAGGCACAGGAACTACTGAGTCACTACTGCGTTCACGGCTTACAGCACTTCCGGAACTTCCACGGTGCAGGCAGAGATCTCATCCAGACTACCACGTCGAAACGAGAAGTTCCACGAAACGGCTAAATGCGAAAGAAGCTCTGAACGAAAAGCCTTGCCAGAACCATCTTCCATCCGGACTTTCCAGTAGCCTTTTGCCTTCGGACGAAAATTCGTCGCTCCCAGAGCACCAACATTGCAGCACCTTGGTGCCTGGCCTCGTCCCATTCCACCAATAGGCCCACTTTGCCATTCAGCTCGCCCTTGGCCTTCAAACCGACCTTACTACAATCGATGGCCGCGGCTAGTCAGCGTAGCCATGGGCTGCGGCTATCTGCATTACCGACATCGTTTGGAAATCCGACATTGCAGCCACGTTGCCACGCGGACAAACTGTCCTGTTGAAAACTCCTCAGTGAGTGAGTGTTGCAAGTTTGCCCTCGATAATTCTGCGCAAAGAATGCCAGAAGGTGAAGACTTTGGATAGAGGAACGGGGTCATAACATATGCAAGCGTCATGTTTTGTTTTCCTTTTTTTGTCCTGCACGTGTCCGGGCGGCAGGGCAAACCATCATGACGCGTACATTGATACTTCCAGGTGTCCTTTGTGTGCTTGTCCTTCTCTTTTTTCCGCTTGCCCCTCGCCTGAGGCGAATGGGTGAACGGGCGACAGACCTCTCCTGCGTCTTTGAGTTCTTGCCTTCAGGCCCTTCCCGTTCTCCTCCTGTCACAGGGACATGATGCTGCGCAGCATCCCACACAGCGCACGTGGTCTCGGCCGCAAGCACGGCTCCATGGCCTGAGGGTTGAGTTCTGCGTCGGCGGCCACTGCATCGGGGTCCTTTGGGTCAGATCAGGGTGTGCGGAGCCACACGCACATGCCCACTTCGACAAAGCACCGCGGCTTCTTGACTTATGCTTAATTGCTGGACGCGTTCTCTTTAGCCGAGCTTTGCTGGAATCGCTGTAAAGTGTGGTGATGTGAACGCCCGGTTCTTGATCAACAGCTGAGCCATACTGCAACACGCCGAATCCGCTGTCCTCCGACTCAGTGAGTTCGCTCGAGGGTGAGAGCGAGTCTTCCCCGTCGATGCTGAATGTCAAAGAGGTCTGCGAAGACCTCAGCAGACAAAAGATAGCTTCCGCCCACGCTCAGCGAGTGAGGGCTAAGAAATGCTCGTTGAAGCCAACAACAGCTACAGTTGTGCCCGGTGCGCTGGCAGACAACCCAGGTATGGAATCCTTAACTTCACGAACTTCTCCTGCGCTGGGGTCCTGGCGCTTCAGTCTGCCCAGGAGCAGGCCGCACGCGGAACGGAAGGACGACCACGGTGCCCGAAGGCAGGCTGAGAGGGCGGCCGCGCAACGAGGCATGTCAGCTTCTGAACAGCAGAGGATCTGAAATGCAATCCCGAGTTGCTCAGTGTCCACTTCCTTCTCAACCTGTGGCACTCAGTGGTGTTTCGGAACTTCTTACAGATGTGACGGAGATTCCGCAAGGTTCTTGGTCGGAGCCCTACTAGTAGTGCATGGCGATGGCTGTCAAGACTTGCATGCCCCACCTTCTGCAGAGCAGCCCCCCTCCTGCGCAACCCCACGCCATTCGTGGAGACGTCGCGCAGGCAAAGGCCATCTGCACCCGGCCTTGGATCTGTAGCATGGATGCTTGTCACCCAGAACAAAATTGGGCCAGCAGATGGGCATAACTATCGTCCTAGCATGGCACGGTTTCCTCGGATGCTGTGAGCACTTCGGAAGACTAGATCAGGGAAGCTACACGGCAGTATACGCAGATAAACCGCTAAGTTTTTTCTCCTGATGCAGAACCCTTCCCTGCCGAAGCACACACATGCCCCCCCCCTGGACCCTCGTGGAACAATCCTCGAGTAGAACACGCACATGCGGAAAAGAAACAACACGTGCGTAAGATTTGCTGCCTGTTGCGAGCAACTACGATGCATGGCATGACCCTTTAGCCCACAATGTCTCTGCTCTAGATTTCCACGAGCTCTCATCGGACACAAGAGCGACACAAGCCCAAGCAAGAACACCGGTGATGTACTGCAGCCACAAACCTAGCGAGACTCCGAGCCGATCGATTTGTCTGCTTGCATGGGTGGCGGCTGGGGACTCAACTTCTGGAATCTCGCAGTACCTTCTTGGCTCCCCTCGAACTGGGAGAACTCGGCACTCTTGACTGCGGCAAGGGGGTGGGTAGATCGAGAAGCCACCTTCCTTCAGGTAGGTGAGGACCGCAGGCTCAAAACCCCGTTGCCTTTTGGGCAGCACGACTTGCAAGCCAAGGCGCGATAGTTTGATCTCCAGGTGAACCCAAGAGACCCCTGGCTGGTTCACCACGATCCCGCCTCGAGCTGCACTGCTCTAAGAAGAGCTCCGGGAGTCAGAAAGTGACAGGCCCTGTTGCGGGACGCTGCAGTATAGCTGAGTACTATCATGCAAAGGCCAGCTATGTGCAGCAGCCTGCGAATCTGGAGTGAGGCCGGGTCACTCTTTTTGTTCCTCCCGACCTTCAGCGGGTCATCTGCCTTGCCTTAGAAATCTGCAGGGTGTTTGTGGGACGGAAGCTTGCCTCAGCCTCTGCTTGCATATTCCGGGAGACAACCAGCTGTGTCTAGCTCCCAACGGACACTGTCACACGACATCGAATGTTTTCAGACATGTCCAAGACGGAGACATCTCCTCATTTCCTTCCAACAAGCTCTCTCGTCAGGGCCTGCAGGGAGTAAGTAAGGGACTGCAGCTGCCTTGGGGTGATCAGAGGAGACCGGTGGCCGAAAGCTTCTGCGCCCGAGTGGCCCAGCTGAAAATGGAGCGGGCTCTCAGGATCCTCGCTAGAGGTCACCGTGAAGAAGAGCGGATCCTCCATGGCTTCCCCACGGCCATGGGCGCTGGGCCTACACGGCACT